TTACTCCAAAGGGTATTGTTTTTTTTATGTGTAATGTCATAAATGATTATCAGTATTTGGATGCAAAAAATACTTTGGTATCCAGCAGCAAACATGTTTCATTTGAAAGAAACTCTTTGTATGATGTTTATTATAAATTATAAATTGGTTCTTGGTGTACTTGCACTGATGATTGGTAATCACCATTAATAAAACTTAGATTATGCCTCTCTTCATAACTGTTTTACATAATGTAATTTCATGTATATGTATAGTATTTCTGGTCGAAAATTAAGTTATGTTGTTCTATTGTACCATTCAAAATCCACTGAATTTTAAAACTTAATAAAATAGTATCTAATGTGGGAAAGTCAGCTGATTCCTTTTGATAACCATTTTCTTTATGATATTGTGACAGTCCATTGTTTAAATCAATCTAATCATCTGATAAATGAGTATATGATTATATTCTGAATTTTTTATTTTACTTTTTCATTTTTTACATATCTTTTAATTGAAATTTTCATATGAATGTAAAGCATGCCTTTGAGCAGCAATTGCCTTATAAATACATTGTCTTACCAGATGCCTATCTAATCTAACTCCTTACCACACCCGACCTTAACCCTTTCACTCACCAATTCCTTTGCCCAACTTAGACAACTAATCACTAAGTCAACCACCCTTCACTAACATTAACTATAGTGCTACATGACTGAAGATGTCTAGCACATTTATCTTGTTTTTAACCATTAACCATTAACCATTACCAGATGCCTCCTAAAAGAATTCCGTCCTTAATAGGCTCAGGTATGTCATAAAGGATCTCCTAGTTTTCTACATAATCTGCAATACTTTGGGTTGAAAAATGATTCAGTTTCCTTACATGTTCAAGCAGAGTAAGTGTAAAAATACAATTTATCCATGACTAATCTAAACAGAAGCCTTTGTAGCTAGGTGAAAGGAAATGCCTATTATAGTTTTTACTCTCAACTGCATGGTATGATATAAAAGGAGTATTTGGTCAACAACTATTTTCAAAATGCATTTTCAATCTGTTAACCGACAGGCATCATACTGTCAAAGCTCTTACAGCTTTAAATGTAGATAGCAGTTGTTTTCACAGATTATTATTTATGTAAGAGTTTATTTCATGATCTAGTAATGAAATTGAGTGTCACCAAATTACCACATCAGAAGTAATTACACAAAGACAATTGTATGTAAAGTCTGCTAAACTTATAACGCTATCATTTTGCTTTACCACACAGTAAATTGTATGAGACAAGAAGCCTTTGATCAAGACAGACAGGACAAGAAAGAAAGAATAAATGGAAAAAAAGAATCTGTGTTAATATCTTCAGGAGAGAGTGGAGTGAAGTATGGTAAGCAGAATGTCCCCAATTCCTGATGCTGGCTCTATGTACTTACACCTGTCTTTTGTCCAATAAAGTTAAATAAAAGCAGTGTTTTGTAATTACAGACCCTAGCTTCCATTTTACCTTCTCACCCCACAATGTGATGTAATAATATTATCAACTATCTTCATCTGACAGTAGACAATCAGCGCTAAATCTGAAACAAAATTAATGAATATTCATAGATATAAATGCATACTCTATAACTCTAAATAGTTACAATTTAGACTCTACCATATATAGTGTTTGGAGA